TTTTACCTTAATTTCAAAGTCATTGATTTCAGAATTTGTTTAGATCAGCTTTCTTAAAACAACATATAATTCATAAAAATTATGCCATAATTTTTTAATATCTTTACCATGTTTTTCTAAAATAAAATTGGTAACTGGAAAATATTGTAATACTTTTTTCTTATCAGGCTCTATTAATAAATTCCAATTCTATTTGCCACTTTGTGATTTTGACTTAAAAAATTCAAAATGAACTTTAATAGTTTTTATGGTTTATTCAATTTGACTTTTAATTTGCTATTCAAATTCTCTCTTTTTGAATAAATCATTAAAAAAACACTCCATTAATAAATCAGCAATATATAATAACAAATGTAACTCATCTAAAATGAATTTACTTGCTTAATAGCAGGAAATATTACAGGTTTTTTTTGCCTATTAGAAAGTTATAAAATTAATAAATGCTTATTTAATGAATTATTAATTATTTTAGTAAAACTTACATTTAGAATTTTCATTAATTGGCCATTGTAGATCTATGTTCTAATTTTCACTAGCTTTACAATCACAGTATAGACAAATGTATCTTGCATTTGAAGCATTTAATCCCATTATGAACTTTTAATTACCAGAAAAAAAAAATTAATTGCCCAATATATACCATTGTTATCATAGATTCCATTTTCTTGAAGATCTCAAAGCTGATATTTGAATAAATGTCTAACTTTAGTTAATTTTCTTTGCTTATATAAAGACAAATACTATTTTTTTTATTATTTAATAATTTTTATAAAGCACATATTATAAAATTAAAATTACCAATACTGATGATCTGATTTTAATACTTTGTCTTTTTCATTTAGTAAGCAAACAGTTATCATTACATAGTTTTGTTTACAACCCATATTTCTGTCATCTTCGCTAAGCCTTAAAATAATTATATCACCTGATTGAAGGATTGATTTATTCCAAATAGGAATAAGTATTTTAAGAAGGGATTGAATTGATCGATATACACTATTGCCAATTTTTTGTTTATCAACTATAATTTCATCAAAATTTTTTTGAAATCTATTGTCATCAAGTATAAGTTATTGAGTAAGTTCTTTATTAAGATTAAATATTCCAATTTGTATTTGATCATTTATTAACTTGGTAATTTCAATTCATCTTTGAAAAACTTGATATTCACGTATTAATTGTGCTTCTATAATAGCAAGTCTTCGATACCTATCATATCCTAATAAAGCTTCATCACAAGCACGTATATGGACATCTATCTTATATTATCTATTGTTAAATTATATTTTATATTAATAATTTGATTTTCATATACAAACTGGATTTTTAGACTCCAAAACCATCTGATGTTTTACAATAAGTTGTTTGATTTTTCATGCGCCTCTCTTTCTAATGATACAAATTAATTATACTTCATTAAGTAGTCTTTTTCTTTTATCAACAATAACTTTGTCAGTTGATGATTTCCTAAATTGCTCAATTCATACTTGATGTAATATTTCAATATTAAATCCAAAAATATGTATTCCAAAGTGTTGAGAGTTTTGTCAATTAGTTTTCTATTTTTTTAAAAATATCAATAAATGATAAAAAAGATAAAACATATGAAAATAATGTAATCAGAAACTTTGGTAAATAAAAAATAACATGTATATTTTTTGTTGATTTGTATATTTATTTATTTATTAAATATTGATTCACACTGTTTTTTTTAATTAATATGTACATATATTTATGATTATAGAAAAGAGAGAGAAAAAAAAAGAGAATAATATAAGTAAAAATACCTTTAAAAATGCATGTATAACACCACTTGCTGACTGTTTACTAGATACTATCCATTCTGTCCAACCTTCTTTATATAATAGTATATAAAACTTTATCTGCAAATGTGTATTTAGTTTCACAACATAACATCTCGATATATTTATCAGGAATTTGATATTGGATACCATTTTTATTTTTTTATGTATATTTAACATTTTGTGAATAGTGTCTAAGTACTATTATCTTATATTTTGAATGAAAAAATTTTGCCACCACCAACATACTGAGCATATATATAAGGACTATTAGGATAATTCTCATAAAAAATTCTATTCGTCTATTTGAATATTTAATTAATAAATTCTTATATGCATTATTTCGCATTTTTAAATATAAGAAAATATACTTAACCATAAGGCGGTTGGAGTAAAATTTTCTATTTTTTTATTAAAAGTCTTCTTGTTAAAAGTATAGGCAACGAAAATAATAAAAAATAAACTTTACAAAATATTTCTTAATTCTGTGATGAGTCTTTACAAACTAATTACAACTAATTTGAAACTTGTGATTTCAATAGTAAAAATTTGTTATTTAAAGAAGCAATTAGTTTAAAGTTGAATTATTACTCATTTTGGTAATACAAAATTAGTATTTTAGTAATACAGATCATAAAAATCACATAAATTTACTTATTGAAATGAGCATAATCAGCCCATATGTTTTGCCTTCAAATAAATTTATATGGTAAATTTATGTATGCTGAATGAGATAAATGGTGAGATAGCTCTGATATCTGATAATAAATTTAGAGAATCATTATTTAATTGATATCTATTCAGCTGAACTAAATTTGAGAACCAACTTATTTGTATAAAGCGTGATCTAGATATTACTTTAAGCTCAGGTAATCAACTTAATACTAGATGTAATCTTTTGATAAAAAATAATGAAAGCTTTTCAGAGCGTGTATGCTAGCTTGAAGATGAGGTGAGAGAACTCAAAACCAGATTTCTCAAAAAGATATTTCTCTTTTTAGTGTTAAGAGTGAAGTTACTATAAAATTGGAAGAGATACAGGTTCTTCAATCATGAGTAGAGGAATTAGAATAGGATGTTTTTTTAGTATAGAAGGAGTTATTAAAAATGAATTTACTTAAGAATAAATTGGAACTGAAATATGTAGAACTATCTAATAAAAATATTGGCTTAGATTTGGAAAAAGAAGATTTAGAAGAAACACTAATCAAAAAAAGGATGAATTAATGTGGATGAGGGATGATTTACTTTCAGTACAAAAGGCATTGATAGAGAAAGATTCTCTTCTTCAAAAAACTAATGCTCATTTAGTAGAGCAGATTTCAAAAGCATAATAAGATGACTGGAGATGTTAGTGGACTGAAGAAAGGTAATAGTATTACTAGTCCTGAAATCACTTCAGTATCACCTATTACTATATCAAGAATTGATAAAACTTTATTTAGTGATAATAAATCTGATTCCTTCTTTTTTCAGCTTGTGATTTTTCTCATAATAGTATCACTAATCATATAGTTCTCATAGTCTATATTTTTTTTATCTATATTCTTTTATTTTACCTCTTACAGCTAATTTCATAATTCATGGACCATTAATAATTTTTCAGTCACATTCAATCGCAATATTTTATAGTAATTTTATTATAAAATATTTTCAGTCGCATTTATTCACAATTTATTAGTAGTTCATGAATTATAAAATTAGCTGTAATGAAGAAAAAATATTTTGAATTATATGAAGAAAAAAGGAATCAGAATTATATATTTCCAATCTGTCATGCAGAAAAACTAAAAACAGAACTATCCCCTATGAAACTTTTTCTTATATATATGAATGAGGTCACTAAGCATACGTCATCTTAAGTAAAAGACCTTGAAGCGAATCCTAACTGATTTTTCAGTATGTTAGTCACAGGGAAAGTGGATCAGATAAGACTAATATTTTAGCGAATCTTTTTCTTGATAATAAAGCTAAATGTATATATGAAGGTAAAAAAGCGGGTCTAGATTACATGTGATGATTTAATAGTTTGCGATTACCATCCTGATTAACCAAAATAGGCATTCGTAAGATATATATATGCCTTTCCAAAACGTATGATAATAGTTTTTCACCTTTATCATGGCGTTATTCTGAAGGGCATGAGTGGAATGCATCTTTTAACAATGTGAAAAATAATAAGACGTGGTGTCCATATTGTGCAAACTATAGGCCTTGTACACTTGAAGATGCCAAACAATTGGCTTATAATATAAAGGGAGCTTGTCCTTCTGAATATTATATTAATAATCGTTCAGCTTTATTATGGATGCATGATAAAAAGCATAGATGGTTTGCTACTTTTGATAACGTTAAGCATTTAACCATTCTGCCCGAAATATAAAAGAGAAAAGCTATGTCATGAAATTTTAACAAAATATCTTGGCCCTCCTTCACTAATCCGCAAGCCTAATTTTCTCAAAACACCAGAATGTCCCACAGGATTAGAACTTGATATTTATTACCCAGAATATGACTTTGCAATCGAAGTACAAGGCATACAACACGAAAAATTTATCAAATTCTTCCATAATGGCGATCCCAATAATTTTATCAAACAGCAAGCGCGGGATCAACTCAAGAAAGAATTATGCGAAGAAAACTGTATTGCCTTGAGATATGTTTGGTATTATGAAGACCCATATTTAGTTATTCCTGAGCATCTTCGAGAATTGGGTCTCATTGAATAAACTAAAAGCTTTAAATGGGTATTTATTATTTTTTTTTTTACATAAATATCAAAATTTTCGACCTGATTCATATCACATGACCACGTCACGAAAACTGTATACATGTTAAGTCCGATGAGAGTGAATCTTTATTATTCTAATACAATACAATAAAACAGCAATAAAACACTAACAACAATCTTAATATTCAGAATGAATTAATTTTTGCGTTACTTTTCTTTTTTGATTTCTCTGGTGTTTTTATGGTTTTCATTTCGTTTGGTGAACCTCGTTCAGGAGTTTTAGAGGAAACTATCATCCAATTTTAGTGACAGTTCTTTCACAAGTCCCTGAACGAAAATGCCCCTTAGTAAGTGACAGTGATCCACTAGAAGAATTAAAACAATGCAAAAAATAAGGCTTACTCTTATATTCCATGCCCAAGAAAGTGCAAGACGTAGCTTGTCATAAGATGAATATAAGAGGAAGTTTAAACGACTTCAGGAGATGAAGTCGGTAAATATAACGCTTTTCCATCATGTATATTCGAATCTCTGTCATGTATAGCTGATCAAAACAAAAATTCATTATTCCCCATGAAGACCAATTGTATATTGACAAAGGAACTTAAGACTTATCTCACCTGAATTCGATAGTATAAAGATTTGATGAATCTCTACTTGCACCTCTAAATTTCTCTAATATGTCATCCAATGTATCTTTAAGCATTCTTGGTAGTTGATATTCATCAGACGCCCACTTTGTAAGGTCATATTTATGTGGGCCACCACATGCCAGTCCACAAACCACTTCTTGTTGATCGATTTTGCATAATAAATCCGCTAGATGACCCCGTTCAAGATATTCTTCTAATATATTTTTGTTTTCATTTCGTCTTCGGCAACTGGCGACTACCGTAACTTCTCCCCTAAAAGTTAGATATTTGAGTCTAGGGAACGGGAATAATGAAAAAAAATTGAAACTTACCAAGGGACACGACAGAAACTGTTCAATTTTAAGGCACCCTGAAAAAATAGGAATGACGTATTCTCCAAACCACTCTCTTTCCCCACAATCATTTTGTTGAATTGGGTTATATTCGGATTCAAAAGCATCTAGACTAAAAAAGATGGTAAATCATGCATTCAATGGAAGCTAGACTTGTCACAAGAGACTTACAATGTCCCGACAGCACGTTCAACCCAATACAGGATCTTCTTCCAATCTTCTTCATGGTATGAAAAACCTTCATTCTATTCTGGTGCTTTTAAATCCCTTATTTTTACCCATTATCACGGGATTCGTGGAGCTTGGGTTGCTTCTATCAAAAACATAAATGTGTCAATATTTGTGGTCAATACTGCTCGAATTTTCCAAATGCACTTTACTTAGTCACCTTGCTCCTTAATTTCTCACCAAGAGGCCCGAATAGATGATCACAAATTGATCCAATTTCTTCGTAATATGTGGCATTAAATGCAGGTGGTCGGTTTGCTATAAGCTACGCCCAAAACTCGGGTTCGAACTCTTTTTCTATCCGTGAACAGGGAGTGAGATCTAAAATAAAGCTGTGCACAAGACTTCACAAAAAATAATAAGATTTAAAACTATTCAATAAACGTAATCTGTAGTGGATCTATTATCAAGAACAAAACTTACTCGTATTTTGACGTTGTTGATTTTGCACGATATTTTTCCATTACCGACATTATATGGGATGAAGGCAAATCATCACCAATCTCAGAAAATAAACGCTTGTGAGTATTCTTTAACGGCACTAGCTATAGAGGAGAGAGATATTAGTAATTGATCTCAAAATTGAATATCACTTAACTGTTTAACGTAAATAATAGCGTAGTCCGAACTTGATAACTAAAAAAATCATACCTCGTCCTGATTAACGGTTGCATCGTTAGAATCGTGTTCAGATACAAAAAGCGGATTCTCGGCATCTACGATTGTTTCTAAGGCTATTATTCCAAGTCACAGAGAAAAAGTTAAATATGTAATGCATAGACGAGTTTGAATAAATTACCATCTTTCGTATCATTTCTACCTAATAGGCTAGAATTGGGGAATTCTCCACTATAAACATGGACTCCATCATCCTCAGATTCATCATCGGGTGATTTTTCTTTTTCATCAAGGAATTTCTCCAAGATCTTGGTAGTGGTTGCTCTAGCATATTGTTGAACTTGTTCTGTTGTAACTGTGGCTATAGTTACGTGTTGAGACGCCTTGTATGGGAAATAACATCAAGAGTGAATGATTTAGTCTAGCATGCTAGATTGTAGAGATAATGAATACCTGCAACATTCGAACTTCAGCCCTCGATTTCTCTTCCGCCATTCTCGCTACGTCTTGAACTTCCCAGAATTGGTTTACCGACTTCGTCCTTTTATCATTCTATTTTTTAAAAAGGGAGAAAAGAATTAGAAAGTATGGTGCCTTATCACGCATATAAAAAATTGGTAGTCATAGGACAATCACGGACAAGCCACAGCCTTTCCCATTGCGAGCACGAAGGGTCACAAGGTAGTCCGTTGAATGTTAATCACCGACAGGTACGATGGACGTTCCCACTGCAAGCACGAAGGGTTACAGGGTAGTCGATGCACTCTGATTGTCGTCATTAAGTATTACGTCGCCATTAAGTATTACTCATCAACAGGCACGATGGACGTTCCCACTGCAAGCACGAAGGGTTGCAGGGTAGTCGATGTACTCGAGCAACCACAAAGTGATCCAAAAAATACATCTACCTTAAAGGCACCCTTACATTTGGCTATCTCTAGTCCCATTTCAGACATTTCTGCATAGTGTTTACTTATTGTGTTTAACTCGTTATTGTAGCGATTATATTCCGTTTTTTTATCTCCCAGATCGCCTGCGGAGAGTCGAAAGTTCAAAAATTTTAGGAGCGTAGGGTTTTTTGTATTCTCTCAAAAAGCTACACTTAAATAGCAGGTTAATAACATGCCATAAGGCACTGCCAAAAGCATAATTTGCCTTACCTCGATACTGCACAGCATTAAGACACTCGAGAGAAAATTGTTGCATCTTTAGTTCAGAAAAAAAATTAATGATTAGAGTCATGTGATTTTTGGATAATTACATCATTGTACAACCTCTAGGTCAGGGTTGTAGCTTGTGTACAAATCTTTTTTTTCCCAACCCTTCTCAAGATAGCTGGTCGTTATACCGATGATGTAAAAAATGCATCAATGGTCATTAATAGCTATCTCCGCAAAGGTGAGTTTGTTGTATTTGATCTCAGTAGGCCTGAGGATGATCCTCTTGCAATTTGGCTAAGGTTTGACACACCATTGAACCTGCAGAAAGAGAGAGGTGAGGCAGAACTCAAGCTAATTCATGCAAAGCACTTCTTGATTAATTTTCCTCCAAAAATGATGATATTATTTTTATTATATTTATACAAGTATTGGGTGATTTCTAGCAATATAAAATAACTACAATGAAAAATACTAATAGCTAGATATAATTATTCCTATTATTACGAGTGTAGTGGTGGTACTTGTGAGGTAGAACCTCCATTTTCTTTATATGGCGGTGGTGGGATTTGATGTCTTGCAATATTTTGTTTACGAGGCTGGTCATAGTTAATCACTATAGTAAAATAAAGTATTAGGGGATTAGTATACCTTCTCATAAATATTTCCTTCCTCTGATCAACTAATCTTTACCTGGTATTTTCCAGAACTATTCTTTGAATTCCTCATAATACTTGAGGCTATTCTTAACCTTTTTCATTGGCTTTACTATTGATGTACGCTTCCATACGCTAAATAGAAAAGATAAATTAGTTTGGCATCAGGCATTATGCATAGCCAGGGTTGGGAATTTTGTATGTACTAGATAAAATTAACACTGTACTTGTACTGTACTTGTATTAATTTTTATATTAATTATTATAATGTACTAACTGTACTAATTGTACTAATTATTGTACTAACACTGTACTTCCCAACTCTGTGCATAGCTAAGGCTTCAGAGATTTCAGAAGGATTTCTACATACTTTACAATCACATTTGAGATTTTCAAACTTTTTCCTACAATACGCACCAGTATAAGATATTTCAAACTGAAGATTAATTTTTGTGAAGACTTTCTTTCAGAAAATTCTCTTTCTATTCCCAGCTAATTCATAAAACATTTTGTTATTTTCTTTGTGTTATCAATCAATACTCAAAGTTGCTCATCAGTTCATATTGTAAAAAGCTTTATATTTTTTTTGGATTTGAGTTTTTAGAGAATATGGTATTATATTGCTTTCTTAACTATATTATTGCAATTACATAAAGAGGAGAGTAGCAGAAGTGTAAAGACAAGTCATTACATATCGAATGACTATATATATTAAATGTGGCTTAGAATCATGCAGATAATTATTATGAAATGATTTTAGCCAAAGTCACGTAAAAGCGATTGTTAAGATAGTTTAAAATTGCATCATAACTATTTTTAAGAAATACCGTATCAATACCGTATCAAATAATATATTGTACTATTAGATCTGAAAAATTCCATATCAATACCATGCCATTACCGCGAAATTGCATAATACTATTCTTTTCTCAATTCTGAAAAAATCACGTGACATTCTAGCACAACATGTAAAAAAAATAATACAAATTGAGACTTTGCTTATGATATATAACATGCTATTCCTTATACTTCTACTGTTACTTCTCTATTCAAAACTTTTAGAAGACAATTCCAGCTATTCAGACTTGTTCTTTCAGAATACAGTCATACCTCTCTATAGCGAATTTTTATATAACGAATTTTTTGGACAACTATATTAAATTTACTCTCGTTATAACGAACTAGCCAATCAAATTCTTTAAAAAATTCACTATAGCTCTATAGCGAAGTTGAAGTTCAGGACATAAAATTCGTTATATCAAGGGTTGACTGTATAGTGTTAACAACTTATTAAGTAGGATTCTGGGTTCTTGAATATTATCGTAAATCAAATAATATTTTTTACTGTTTTTGCTATCAATCAACCAGTGGCCTTTCAGATAACAATGATCTTTTTTGCATATAAGGCAAATTTGCATATTATGGATGAGATTACAATCTACTTGGTTAACAAATTCCTTATCTATATTGGCATAAAGGTCTAGACATGAGGTGGTCTTTTCAAAATTATTTATCATCAAATCAATAATCTTATCAAGCTTTTATTTTGGTAACTTCTTCTGGAGTGGAATGAGCTGATCACTTTGTAAAGCAGGTGAATTCTTTGAATCAATTCTAAAGGAATAATTTGAAAAATTAGAGACATGAGATAAAAAAATAGGTGTAGTTAAAATGCTTACCTCAGCTGAAATTTCAATTATGTGACTTGATAATTCTTTCACATCGACATTACCGTTATCATTATCATTATGCTTGAAGAAATTAACTATGATATTTTAAACTTTATCATTAGTCAACTCAGAAATAGAGTTTGCAGTATATGTCATAATACACTTAATATTTTTTACACCTATTTTTTCAAATAAATTATATATTTTTGTGGCTTTTTAAGTTTTCTCTTATAAGTATTTATGTGTTATTTCTAGGAGTTGTAAACTAGTTTCTTCAGATCTCTTTTTACAGAGAATGGAAAGTTCCTCTAACATTTTATTATAAATAATTCTTTTCACTTTTTTCTCACCAATTTTTCTATTTTTCATAATTTTGTTAACTTGAGTTATAAATTTTTTTCCATAGTAGCATCAACACAAAATTTTTTCTGATTTGCATGAATTGCATCATATTTAGCATCAGTTGTTTTATTGAATAATTAAGCGTAAATAAGTAGTAATACTGTAGAAGAAATTTAACTCTGTTATGATAATATATCGTTAGAAGAGCTAAGAATACATTTTTGAGACTATACGTCATTTTAATACTATTAGATATCATTTGAGAAATATTTTCTGCATCATTTTTCCTATAACTATTTTTTGGTAGAGGCGTTCTAGCTGAAATTTCAATCACAGGATTGGGTATTACTGGTATCTTTTCAAAAGCAGAACATCCAGTATCAAATGGTACTTTTGGGATTGATTTTTGATCTTAGTTAAGAGATACTTACTTTACTTTACTAAGTTTCTTCTTTCTATTACGTTTGCCTAATCTCATTGCTAACTCTTTTTTTATACAACTTGTCCAAGAAAGCATTTGTATTTACATCATCTAATCTTTTGGAATTAATAGATATATCACCATTTATTTTACAATCAGGCTTACTATATGAGCTAATTCGCTGAACTTCTTGATAATTGGATATGACAACAATTGATATCTCTACTTCTGGTATTGCTTTCTTATCATTTTGAGATTCTTCTCTTATCATCAAGGAATCCTGTTTCACAATTACAAGTCTGGCTTCAAGCTCTATATTTTTTTGCTCTAATTTCTTATCCTTGGTATTATGCATCTTATTTTCTTCAGTAGACTGTCTTAAAAGTTTGGCAACTCTGCCTTAAGCTTAACTTTCTTAGCTCTAAGCTTATCATTCTTGACTTTAATCTCAGCAAATCTCTTTCTAAGTTCATTAATCTCAATTAAGAACTTGGCATTTAATTCCTTTAATGAATCGTTGGATTGTGTATTAGATATATTAATAAATTTTATATAAAAATATGAAATATTCAAAATAAATAAAATACGTGATTATGATTGTGATGCTTTAGCTAGAAATTTCTAAGAAAATTTTATTATTTGATATATGCCTCATATAAAAAAAAATATGAATGTATATTGATAAAATCGACCGCTAGAGTTACTTTAATGATACAGTAATATAAATAAATACAAAAGTTCAGAAAACTTGACTGTAATACATGATATTTCTATGATAAAATACATGAAAAATATTTACACTAACTATTTATCATATGGGACATGAAAACGGTAGGATTTGGATTAACATTTTAAGGCAGATGAGAGGTGGCTTATTCTAATTCCTGCATTAGAAAACTCCTATTCATAATCATTACATTTCTTAAGGTTAAAAGTAAATGAATGAGAGATTTTAGATATGACTGATAAGGGGATAATAGAATTTCTACATGATCTAAATAGAAGTATCTTAGTATATTAGCAGATCTTTCACAAGAATATTTAGATATATAATTATACCCACGATTTGAATTCCTATAATACCAAATTGATTACCAACTGATCAACATAATGCATTGATATAACTTGCTCTATCTAATGATTCTTTCCATAATTTAATCTCGTTATCTGATTTTTTTGAGTTATTATATATAATACATGACAACTTAATATATAATAGCTCAATAATTTTTTTATCTTGTTTCACTAAATCTATAATGTCAGGTTTTTTTTCCATCTGCTCTCCAATTATTCCTAGATTTCTCTAAGCTTTACTTACTATACATTGATTTAAGTTAATTTAATATAATTAAAGGAAGAATTACATCAATTATCATCATCATGCTGAAAAGTAAAACAATTAATATCAAAATAAATCATTTTAAGTGAGATTCATAATGATATCAAAAAATGACAAAATATATATAACATCAGGAAAATTTTTATAGCGAAGTACTTTGAAAAATTTACGATTTGTAAATATTTTGAAATTCTTCACCATAATCCTCCGTAATAACTACGTTTTCATCGAAGTACTTCGTATGTATTACTGATCGTAATCCTACGTAGCGTAAACCTTCGAAGT